TCACTCTTAAAACTATGGCACAGAGGTATAATTATCAGTTCGTGAATTCTATGTAAAAGGACCAAAATGATCTCACTAGAAATGTTTCCCAGAGGCTCTCTTTTGCCTTCTAAAATAATATAATCAGATATAAAATGGCTGGTAAATTTAAAAATATACACATTGCAAATGATAGCAAACACAAAAAAAACTAGAAGTACCAAAGTGCTACAGTTCGGCCAGCAAAGAGGGTATGGGTGTTTGTTCTGGAGGACCGCATTAATAATTGAATCCACTAAAAGTATAATTAAAAACAATGTCCAATAAATTCCTAAAACAATTTATGCTAATCTGGCTTTTGGTAAATAAATCTCCAAGGAAAACTGGAAAATTTCTTTCCATGGCATGTCAGAGTGAAAATCTATTGACATGAAATGAAGATTAAATAAGTACTATTTTCCTGTAAATTAAAAAAAGGGATTATGGTTATGATCCACCAATCCAAAATAATATGATTTAAAAGCTGTGGTAAATTTATATGAGAGTTCAAATGAAAACAATTTACTTTGATGGATAATTGTCATGGCAAATAGAGGTTATAAACTGTGCTATATAACATGGGGCACTTTAATTCACTATGATTAAAACAGAACAAAGCAGACATAAGATTCTAAATAAACGATTTGAGGAAGATTCTAAATATTACAAAAATCAATTAAAATACTATTGTACTGTCTTGTTAAATAATGTACATTGAATACATGCTATAAAGTTTATTAAATTTAAGATGCTGCTTTATTCTTTATGTCTGAAGATATTAATTGAATTAAGTAAACCATAAAGAGATGATTCTAAAATTCTTTGTGGGCCAATTTGGCTCAATAAATAATCAAAGTTTATCCCATTTCAAGAAAATGGGGGCTTATGCCCAAGTTATTCCTGTCTTATACCAGTTCATTCTGATTTACTGTCATTCTAACACTCAAACATAACCAGGTAGAAAAAAAATCCAAATCACAGTACAGCTTCACCTAAAAAACACATTTTACAATAAATGAGATAATGCTTCACATCATATTTGACACATTTTATTCATAATGTGGCTATTAATATAACCTAATATTTGGATGAATAGACATTTCCTTAGGATTTGTTGGCAATATTCTGTAGTCAGAGAAACTAGCTTTGAGAACATCCTATAAATGGGCTGGGGATACAGCTCAGTTGGCAGAATGCTTGTCTTACATCACAAGGCCCTGTGTTCTAATCCCCAGCACCACAAAAAAAAAAAAAAAAAAGAAAGTTTCTGAGTACATCCCATAAAGATGGCTTAAAAAATACAATAGATGTTTATGTTTTCAGGGTCATAATTTTATTTATAGAAGAGATTTCTTTTTTATTTGCAGTTATAATAAACTATTTTTTGTCACTGACATAACAATTTTTCCTGAATGTTCCTGAGGAAGGCAAGTTTTATTAGACATAAAATGTTGCAATCTATAAATAATCACTTTTCCCACTTGGAAGAATAGTATTGGTGACAAAATTTCCCTTCAGTATATTTTTCTCATAAATATTTCAAATTTCATCCATGATCTAACGAATCATCTCCACATGAATAACCCATCTTACCTACTAGTGGAAAGAACTTGGGCAAATCATTCATTTCAGGTTTTGAGATTAGGAAATACATAAAATGTTCACTTGTGTATTTAAACTATGGGTCATAACCTCATTGGTGTATCACACCAGTATTTTTAGAAAAAGAATTGACTAAATTTGAATAGAAAATATATAGAAATGATAATAGTTTGTAAATTTTCAATTTCAAAAATATGTACATACAGCATGTGACAACCTAAAATGCACTCTTTAGTATGCACTGTAGGCAAAAAAAAAAGTTTGAAAAATGTTATTCTAAATAATCATGTCTATTTCCAAAATAAAATCCTTTCCAGCCTAAAAGTTTGAATTATTTCTTTTAACTTAGTGTCATATGCTTATTGCTTAACAGACAATAGTAGCTAGCTACATTTAGTTGAAGTGATTAAGAAAGTATTTCCTCAATTGTTTGTAAACTTTAAAATTCCTTAAAATCTTTAAAATATACTTTCTTCTTTATCCCAAGGGCAGCAACTCCCTCACAAACTGTAACAAAATTTTAGACATCAACAATTTAGTGAAAATATTAAGCACCTCTTGTATGCCACATACTATGGTAAAAAGTTGGGAGATATAAAAATGAATTGGTATGGTCCCTGCATTGGTTGAATTTATAATTTTTAGGAAAGCATCAGATACAAAAAGAAACATCTTATTTTTAACAAAATGGAGTTCATGTGTGTACTATCATGAAATATTATCCTTAATATCCACTAGAAGCCATCATTTATTTTATCTACTTCATTCATTCATTCATTCAAGAAATATTTACTATGCATGCACTAGGTATTTTTCTAGGCTTGATGCTGCAAGATTAAAATGACAAAGTCGGCTTAGTGTTAAGTGTCGTAACGATTACAGGTATTAACTAGGGACTATTTTTTATTGAATGGTCAGAAAAGGTTTCTCTGAGTAGATAGGAATGGCTAAAGGAAGATGATCACTTAAAGCTCTGGAGAAGAACATATAGGAAAAGGGAACAGCTAGGAAAATGCCAGACCCAAGGCAGATAGGAGCTAAGCAAGTTTGAGGAATTGCAAATAGGTGAGCATAGCTGGGAACTAGTGAAGAGAGATGGAACAGTAGGTGAGATAGGGAGGTACATGCAAGCCAGAATGAATAAGAACCTATAAATCATAGTAAAGCTTTTGGAACACATTTTCATTGCCATACGGAGCCATCTGAGGACTTTAAACATACAGCTGTTGTACACAAAACAGATTTTACATAGAATGAAACAAAGTTGGTTATGAGATATCAGTCATTCAGGCAAGAGACAGATGGCTGTGACTTGGATTAAGCTGGAAGCTAGTGGAGATCAAAAGAGGTAGATGATTTGGGGAATGTTTTGGAAGTTAAATATACAATGTGCTGATAACATGAATATGGAGAGGATAGTAAAGAAGGGAATCAAGGATAACTCCTATAACTTTAGCTTGTACAACTAGATGGTTTTATCTGTGATGAGGAAAAGCAAGGTGGGAGTGCTAGAGATAGCAGCAGCAACTTAGAGTTCTACTTGCATATTAGCTGTTCATCTAAGTGAATAGGTCAAGCAAATAGAACTGGGCTTGGGTATGATTTATGAATTTAGGGGTCATCACAATATAATAGTAGTTATAGAAACAAGACTTTAGTTGCAATAATTCTTTTAATCTGGACAACAACTTAAGGTTGTTAACTTTTTATACATTCTTGACTTTTTACATATGAGTGTCTCTGATGCTCAGAGATACTGGCTGAAAGTCACCCAGCTGTTAACTGGTAAGGTCTGGGTTCAAATGTGAGTCATTGTTCTCCCCATTACACCAGATCATTTTATTGGAACATTAGGAGAATGTGAATCTTTGAGGGGAGTATATTTTAATTTTTGAATGAAGGACTTTTTAAAAGTCTACTTAGTCTGGAGAGAATGAAGCTCATTCAGAATCTAAGTCCATAAATTCACTAGTCTTTTCTGTCCTTATGTGACTTCTTTGTGGCAGATGGCATTGATTTTTCTCTTTTTCCTTCCAAACAAAAAGCAAACTGAGATTGCCAGGGACTGGGTATGAGGAAATGTAGGTTAAAGGGTACAAACTTTTGGTTATAAGATGAGGACCTAATGAACAGTATAATGAATAACAGTATAGTGAATAACACTGTATGGTAAACTTGAAATTTATTAACAGAATAGATACTAAGTATTCTCACCCTCTCCCCCCACATTCATACATATGCAAACACACACAGTAACCATGGGAGGTGAATGATGTATTCATCTGATTGTGAATCATTTAAAAATGTATATTTATATCAAACCACCCATCATCTTATACCTTAAACATACACAAGTTTTAATTTGTCAATTATATTTCAATAAAGCTGGTAAAAATAAACTCTTACTCTCTCAGCTTGTGGGACAGAACTCCTTTTTTCTTCTTTCCTTCTCAAATCTTGATTGCATCTTATTCATTAACCCCTAACTATGGCTGTTTTGCAGGAATTTTTAAGTCTTCTTTTCTCACTTTACATCCCCCGCTAAAATTTAATATTCTTATTGTTTAAAATACTAAATATATGCTTTGGACCCTAATTTCTTGCTTGCAATCCAGACATTTCTCCTTAGCTCAAGAATAGGTCCAAAGGTTCCTGAATGCGGCTTCAAAAGAGGGTTCCCCCTCGCAGTAAACAGGTGGAGCAAAGTTTAGGAGCTGTGAAAGTCTCACTTGTGCCTTCATTCATTATTTACAAGCACTAACACATTGGCTGCTTAAGGAGATTCATAACTAGAGTGGCGGCAGACAGGCATAATTCCATGCAATATGGTCGGTAGGAGAGCATTCTTGTGAACATAAAGCGTAAAGGGCGAGTATCCCACTTAGCCCTTTAAAGAGATTTAATAAAATTTTTGGAGTATTTCTGTTTAGTTCAACCTTAAAAAGTAAATGGGAAGCGAAGAAGAACATATAGGGAAAGAAAAAAGTTGGGGAGAGAGAAGGTTATTTGGGCAGAACACTGCAACCAGTACTGAAGTACTGACTGGGGACTATGAAGATAATGAATAAGCCCATGTATTTAAAAAAAAAAAACAGGGAGTGGTTGGCACCACCGATAAAAATGATAAAAATCTCGGGTCAATACGACACCTCACCCCAAATCTGCTCCGACGACAGGCCGGTTGCCTCAGGTTCCGCAGGCTCCTGACGCACCGCGCACGGCCCGGCTAACTCCGCCCTCTTCTTCCGAAAGCCCTTCCGTAGAATTGCGTGCACGTGCGCGGCGGATGCCACCCACTCCGTTTTCTCGGCCAATGAGAAATGGCTTCGTAATTCACTACCGCCCGGTCGCAGGTCACGTGACTGCGTCTGCCCGCCCTCTTACCCCGCTGCCTCTAGGTTCTAGGAAGATGGCGAAGGTCTCAGAGCTTTACGATGTCACTTGGGAAGGTAATTTCTGGAGGGGCGGGCACAAAACGACCCAAAGCTCTGGGGAATCGTTCGGAAGCACCCACTATGCTCGGACAGGTGGGTTCTCCGGTCTTTGGCACCGGAGCTCTCACTGGACGGGCCAAGCTGAAGAAGAGGTTGAGGCTGACCCTTTCCTTGGCCGGGCCATTGACTCTGGCATTCCCCACTGTTTAAAGAATGACTGACCTCCCTACCTCCGCGCCAGTCCAGCGGCCCGGCGCGGCTTCCATTTATGAGGCCGGAGCGACTTGGAGTTAAGGATGTCACACTTTTTCTGTGGTTCCTGGGCGGCGTGGAGGGGGCGGGAGAGTGGATTGTTGAAGCTTCTTTGAAGCCAAGAAGTACAGGGTCTGTAAGGCCTTGTGTTGTCAAGTGTTTGGAAGTCTTTCAAGTCTGTGCAGAAAAAGTGTGTAGAAGACTGATGAAAAAATTGTTATTTTTTCAAAACCGGGTTTTTAATTTCTGTGCTTTTTATTCTCTATCCCACTCTTCCCTCAAATCACGTTTACACACTCCATACCATTTTGTATCTATTCCCTACCAGTAAATCCTATTCTAAAGGGGAAAATAACTGTTAACTCTTGGACAGGTGATCACGTGTGGCATTCTTGTGTCTCATCCTTGGTTGATTTAGGGCAGAGTGTTTTTAAATCCAAAAACAGAATCCATTCTGCAAGAAAGACTTTCCCCCCCATTTTAGAAACTTTCGTGGGAGACCTGCTTAAGAAACTTGAATTTCATTAAAGCATGAAGTTTATGTTATTGAAATTCACATTGCCAGCCTTTAACATAGTTCAGCAGATTTCAGTAGCTAGTTTGTTCAATGAATGCCTTTGTGGGATGCTTAAATAATGGCCTAATGACATGTGGACTGAAAATTATATTTACTGTTTGATCATGAATAAATTTCTAAGTATTATGAAGTTGCAGACATGTAAGGGAAAAGACAAAATTTCTTTACACTTACAGTGCATTCAATAGTATAGATAATATATTGGTTTTGTGGCTTGTGGCACATGAATATTTCTGCTGGTACTGAAGGAATGCATTATATTAAACAGAAGTCTTAAATGCTTAGTGTTAGATCTTGCATATTTCAAGTAAGACAGTCCCTACTTCATAGAATCACAGTCTAATGGAGAAGACAAACCTGTGAATAACTTTAAAAGACTTGTCAGGTTATATCCTTTCAGCCAGATGGGAAATATGTGACTGTTTTCTTTAATATTTTTAAAAAGTTTTTCAAATGTTTCATAATTTTTCAAAAGTGATATTGTTAAGGTATGTTTAGTATAGCTCACTCTTAGCTCTGTTAGACTTTATAATTTCTCAGAATTCTTCTCAGAAGTCCCGTACTACAGAGAGCCCTCCTTAACCTCACCCCCTTCCCCATTCCTCTATCAAAATTTAGGAAAAAAAAAAAAAAAGAAAGAATAAAGAAAAAATTCAAAACTTGCCCCTGGGTCATGTGTTTTCATGCCATTGAAATACTTACCCAGTTAAGTTTTAAAATTTTATCTCTCCTAGAATGAAAGTAACCACTCTAGTTTTGTTCACTGTCATGTCATTAGAGTTGGACATTTGGGAGGAACTCTGATTGTTTATTGACTGAATGAATTATTAATGGGATTAATGATAAACATTAACAGATTGTCCCAAAATATAACTAAGAATCATTTTTTTAGTGTTGAATATATTTCTTTAGTGTCTTAGGTGAACTTAGGCAACTCAACTAATAGTATATGGTTTGTTCACTTGTTCAGTGAAGGTTTAGACTTTTTCAGAATTAAAACTGTTTTAAGGGAATTTTAAGAAATGAGTTTTCTAGATTTTTATTTCAGAGACTCAGAATAACAGATTTTTTTTTAGGATGTATGAGGTCAATGAAAGGTCTCAGAGATTTGGAGGAGAGTAGTTTCAGAGGTGTGTCCTTAGGAATTCCATTGAATAACATCATGAATTGCTTAGTTGAAAGAATAATGTAATTCTTGTAATAGGATAATTTATTACCTGTCTAGTAGTTCTAGTACTTTCCAAGTCTCTAACAAACTGTACAGAGATATGGAATTTATGGCTTATTAATTCAGCCACTTCAAAGCATCTGTTACATAAAGAAATTTATTGATTGGAACTTTGGATGTGGGAAAGAGAATTTAGAGTTGTAATAGAGTTGTCAAATTTCTTGAGACTATATTGTTAGGCAGGATGTAGATAGGATACCTAGCACAGTTGCCTGACATGTAATAGACACTAAATGAGTATTTGTTGAAAAAATTTTTAATATTATGTTTAAGAGAATTTCACTTGTTCATGCTCACTGTTCCTGCTTCATCTTTTTTTGTTCATTCTCTCAGTAACCACAATTTGGTTTCCACCCCATACCTCTTCTCTAAGGTCTCTAAGAAAATCTAATGTCAACTCAAATGTTTGTGTTTTATACATCTGTACTACATTTGCTAGAGTAGATCACTCTATGAAAAGTTCTTAACTTGCTTTTTTCCTCCATGCTTTCTTAATAACATTCTTCCAGGTTCTTTTCTTTTCACATCTTTCCTCTACTGAGTTCCTTACATCCACTTTCTTCTTTTTTTTTTTTTTCCTGATTCCTCAGGGATTCCTTCTGTAGCCCTCTTTTTAATATGTCATGTCATTAGGTTGGTTATTAAACTTGAGATCTGTAGATTCTTGATCTGTGCAGGCATGTTATATGGTCTGTAAACTTCATGAACTTACGTGCAAAATTAAGATTATGTGTGCATATTTTTGGGAAAAGATGATTCAGAGATCTCATCAGTTTTGAAGACCTCTAAAATGGGTAAAATGTCTTCGGTAGACAATCTTTTCAACACCCAGGTGTAAATATCAGCCTGTAATATGCTAAACAACATACTAATTAAACATATAGTTGAATGCTTTTTATCAAGCACTATTACAGTTTTTGAGGATATAGTGCTGAACAAGACAGGCAAGTTCCCAGAGTTCATAGAATATATCCTGAAGTTTAATTTTTAAATGAAGATTCGTATTCACAGTTATCTTAGGGCATATCTTCTGGATGTTTTGTGATAATACTTAAAATTAACTTCTCCTCCCCCTCCTACCTACTGCTTCTAACACCTGCATTTTCACTACTTCTTATTTTTTGCATTTTTCCTAGAAAAATTAATAGCACCATTATCTTTCCCCCTTCATAATATAACTCCTGCTCATTATTTGAGATACAGACCTGCTCTTTGAAATTATGTTTTTAAAAAGCATATCCCCTTTCCTACAACAGTGTTATTTGCACAATCTACAAGAAATAAATTTTAGAAAACAACTCTTTCAAGTATGTTCATACACATATATATGTGTATAAGTTGAAATTAGAACTTCACTTGAAAAGTATTAGCATGAACATTCCATTCTGTTCTATTCATTCTGTCTTATTCCCTCCCCCACAAATGCTGCAAGAAGTACCCTAAAATGATTTCATATTCCACTTCTGGGTTGCAATATAGAGTTTGAAAAACTCTTTTGCTGAGTTCTCTGTACATGAAAATAAAATAATTCTTCCTTTTTTCAAATCAGGTGACTTGTTCTTTCAGAATGGGTCTTTTCAACATCCTGTAACTACTCCAATTAGACAAATTCATAGGACTATGGATAAATTAAAATTTATTATCTCCCAGGTATCTTATGGAGTATGATGTTTCATGTAAATGAATCTGTATTACTTGGGAATATATAATTAAGTGAAGTATAGAAAATATAGGATTGGAGTAAGGAGTTTTGAATTAAGAGTCATCAGAGTAAGTAGCAGGCGTGTTTTTCCATCTTTCAGAGACTGGTTGTCTTACCACAGTGACACCTAGTCCTCATGGAAGGAATAAGCAGAATAATCCTAGTCACTCTCATAACCTTTGGTCTTTAGATGACCCCACATGGTTTACACAGTTAATTGTTCAGGTAAGCAGTGAGCAGCTTACTTTACACATATATAATAAAACCACCTTAATTTTGAGGTGCTTACCTCTTGGTGGGGGTACTTAGGGTAAAATAAAAAGTTTAACCCACCCTTGAGTAAACAGTGCTAGAAAAGCCTTTATTTCTAGCCAGTGGCTGAAACAGTTATCAGTTGTTTTTCCTTAAAATCGAAGTAACTAAAATTTTGCGGCATTTTACGTTTTGTAAAATGCCCTACATAAATTACTTAATATTAAAAGTCTTAAACTTCAGGGCCAAGCAGATGAGGAAAATGTGTGAAATTTGTGAAAGATAGTATTGGTGCCTATGTACCTATGAAGAATTGGTGAGTGCATTCCCTCCCAACTATAATAAAAAATCAGCTTATAAACAAACAAAAAGCCTTAGACAATTGTATTAGCCAAGCAACAATATAAGAGATCCAGGTTTTACTTTATGTAAAAGTTTCATCAGAGATTTGTAGGACAGGCTTGTGATCCTTTGTATTTTATAGCTGAGGTGTTAGAAATGTCAAATGATAGGTCCAAGATCACCTTGCTGGTGCAAATCAATGGCAGAGTTGGAATTTAAATAGTGGTTGTTTAACAGTAGATCTTTTCCCCTTTCTGCTACTTATTACTCTCAGATGTTGGCATATTTTTTCCTGGAAAGTACTAGATAGTGAATACTAGTGGTTTTTGTGTGCCACATGGTTTGTCTTTACTGTCCCTCTGTGATTGTAACACACAAACAACCATGGATATTATCTGAATAAAGAGGGCTCTATAGGTTCTGATAAAACTACAAAGCAGGTGGCTATAGATTTTGGCCCTGGGGCTATAGTTTATTGACCCCTGTTTAAATCCCCTGATCTAAATGCAATGTGAAGAGCAAAATCAGAGATGGTGGAATTATAAAAAAGACTAAGCATTTGCTGCTATAGAATGTGCCATTGTCTTAGGGAGAAGCTCTAAAACCTCTTGGTTCAAAAATCAAAAGAGAATTAGTAGTGTACATGAAAATAGGGAAGGATGTAGAAGGAAAAATATTAATAGTAGCTAAAAGTTTTTGAGCACATGCTATACTAAATATGTTACTCAGTGCTCACTACAATAATCATATGATGCCATTATTATATTTTTATCTCCATTTTTTAGATGAGAACTGTTGACTGGCAAAGTTATTAACTCAGCTCATATCACATAGCTACAAAGTGGCAGAGCTGGAATTTGAACCTAAGCATTTTGAGTATAGCATATTCTTAACCACTGTCTACTACTGCCACTACATGGGTAGAAGAGAAAACTAAAGAAAGAAAATGACACAAAAAATGGAAATATTGAACCATTTGGGTGTTTTTATTGTTTACAATTTTTCTGTTAGCTTGTGAACTTTTTAATCGGGTTTCATTTTTATGTTTCTAGCATAAGTCATAAAAATAACAATGCATTTTTGAATGAATGAGTGAAAATCATAGGGATATATCAATAGGTATATCAACTTATTGCATATCAAAAGGGAAAGTCTTAGAAATTAGGTTGTCTGATAATTTATCTTGACTATAAACAAATTAGTGGAGCTGGATGCAAAATCCAAGACTGACAAGTGTGATCTTGACACTTTTCTGCTGCTCATTTTTATGTGAAATTAGTTTTCCTGTGATTTTAAAGTGAGGTGTGGCATTCAGTAAAGTTTTTACTCTCAGAGAGCTTCCTTTTCTTTTTCTTTCTTTTCTTTTCTTTTTTTTTTTTTGGTGTAGTATTCTTGCTTTCTGAGGTGTTTTTTTTTTGGTGTGGGGGGGGCTTCCTATTGATCTTGGGCTGCTGAATTTTGATTTCACTTTCCTTTGTTTGGAATCCTGTCCTAAAAATGAGGCCTGACCAGTCAGGACTGACTACCTGTCAGAGGACCACCTGCTCCAGAGAGTTCAGTCCTTCTTGCCATTTTCTACTTGCACTCAGCTGGGATTGGCAAGAGCAGAGCCCTTCTTGTTTCAGATGTTCTTCACATAATAGCTCTTAGTGCTTTGCAGTGAATATGTATTGGCTCTTTGGGAGTTCTCCTGTTTTGGAATTTATCAGCTTGCCACTTATTGCTTCCTGTAGCATTCTTCTGTGTAGATGTTGGTACATGTAGATCTTGTAGCTATTGATAGTGCCATTGTAGCTGCCATCATCTTTCCAGAGTCTTTCTAATTTGAAGAAAAAAAAATACTTCACATCATTTGTACTTATTTTTCTCCATTTTGTATATCTGATGCCATTGCTTAATTGTTGCGTATCGTTTATATCACTTCATTGATTTGGAGAGAGCTAATGCTTAATGAGTTCACACTGTGTTCCAGATTTTTCAGAGCAACCCAGTGTATAATAGCTGGCTCCAATGTACTGGGAGACTAAAGAACTGAGGTAGTCAGATCCAAGATTGCACAAAGTGAAGTTTATTGGAGGGCTAATTGACAGAAACACCATCCTGAATGGCAGTAAAACCATGTGCATACTCACAATTTGGGTCAGAGGTCAGGGACTTTGAAAGAAGATAAGAGAAAAAATAACTTCATCAAAGCTGGAATGTACCTGTTTTATCTTAAGCTAATATCAAGAATATCAGGCACATACCTGGAACTAATGATGACAGGGTCCGTGTCAGTAAAGCTCAACATACCACTCTATTGGTTTCATTTATTTATAGCATGCTGGAAAACTATGTGGGGGGAAAACAGACCAGGGTTAATCAGAGGCAATCATGACAGTTGACTCAAGGTGGCTGCAGTCATGTCAATCTGAATCTCTACAGATACTTTGCTAAGAACTTTATATACACACACATACACACAAATACACATCCCCGAGTTTTAGGTGTATTATCTCCATAAGTGTGGAAATTTAAATATATTTTCATTAAGTTGGATGAGGTCATTTAAAAGATAAGAGTTTTTATTCAAACCAGTTTCACTAATCATACATTTTCCATGATTAGTTTCTTTGAACTTTTTACTACTTCTAGTAGATCTTCTGGTTGGTTTGCTTGCTTGCTTGCCTGCACCACAGTGATTTTTGTAGCATACAGCTCTAATCGTGTTGTTTTTCTTTTGCTCAGAAATTTTCAACTAAGAACCTAATTTATTACTTCCTACCTTCTTATTTCCTGATTTCACTGTATTTTCAATCCCAGGGACTCAAACCCCTTAACTTTCACAATTTGGGGGGGTGAGGGGTTTGGGTCCCTGGGATTGAATTCAGGGACACTCAACCCCTGAGCCACATCCTCATCCCTATTTTGTATTTTATTTTGAGACAAGGTCTTGCTGAGTTGCTTTAGCACCTCACTTTTGCTGAGGCTGGCTTTGAAATTGCGATCCTTCTGCCTCTCAGCTTCCTGAGCTGCTGGGATTTCAGGTGTGTAGCACCATGCCCAGCTTCAGGAGGTGGGTTTTTTTTTTTTTTTTTTTTTTTGGTAGTTGTAGATGGACATTATGCCTTTATTTTGTTTGTTTTTATGTGGTGCTGAGGATCAAACACGGTGCCCCACCACTGAGCCACTGCCCCAGCCCTTCAGGAGTTCTTTTTTCTTCTTCTTTTTTATTTAGAGACAGGGTCTCCCTGAGTTGCTTAGTGCCTTGCTGTTGCTGAGGGTGGCTTTGAACTCACAATCATACTGCCTCCTGAGCTGCTGGGATTATAGGCATGCACCACCACGCCCAGCTAGGCCGCCCTCCTCCTCCTCCTCCTCCTCCTCCTCCTCCTCCTCCCCCTCCTCCTCCTCCTCCTCCTCCTCCTCCTCTTCCTCCTCCCTTTTTGGAAGATACATTCACACCATAGCAATGCTGTTCTTTGAAACTTGCAGAATTCCCTGTTGTATTATAATATGCAAAGTTGTTCTGTTGATTTTTATTTTTGTCAGTGCTTTTGGCTTTATTTTACATTATTTATTTTATTCCTCATTTAAAAATAACAAAAGATTTCCTTTACTTTTACTTCCTTACATGGCACTGTAACATTAAGGAAATTTATGTTGAATATTCCTTCATTGCTGATAGTCTAATATAATAATTATAATGAAATTTTTATATTCCTGGATCAATGAGTAAACTTCAAAATACCTTGAGTATTTAAAAATTTCTATAGATAATTATATTTTTCTGGAAGAGTAATCCTTGACTTTTATCAAACTCTGAAAGGTCTGTGATTCCCCCAAAAGTTAAGACACACTGTGTTGCAGATTCATGCAATTCATTACTTTTAAAGATAGATCACTTCTGATGCTTTTTCATTCTTCCAAACGATCTATTCAATTTATGTACTACTTTATCAACTTGGAGATATGGTAGACTTCTACATTAATATGAGTTTATTTTCTTTACACAAATAGTAGATTTCATTTTGTCAGTTGTTTTTATGTCTATCATTTGTGTGTATGTATATATATAATACGAAAAAATAACTAGCTTATGTTTTCAGAAATGCGAGATAAAATGAGGAAATGGAGAGAAGAAAACTCAAGAAATAGTGAGCAAATTGTGGAAGTTGGAGAAGAGTTAATTAATGAATATGCTTCTAAGCTTGGAGATGATAGTAAGTTCTTCTGTTAATTTATTACATTCAGACTCAGCACATTTCATTTATGGTTTTTCTCTCTTTTTTTAGCCTGTCTTATGTATTTTCTACTGGTCAGATCACTCTTACCTGTGACTTTTTGTTTCATAAAATTTAATACTTTATTTATTTTTTTTTCTTAAAAAATAATTGCTAGTAGAAGTGAGGCTATCAAATAGGCATTTTTATTTTAAAGCTTACAAGTCACCAGATGTCTTGCCAAAATGTATTTCATGAAGAATCTTTTAGAATAGTAAAAGTATTTAATATTGGATTTTTTTTTTTTTACCTCATAAGATATCAAAATATTTTATATACCCGAAAGGATGCTTTCTTTGCTTATTATTCTGGAAATAATAAATCAATTTTCAGTTATAAGTTATATTCTCTAAAGTATCACAAACTAAAGAATACATTAATTTATGTCTAGCAGATTTTTATTTTAAACTGTGTTCCCCCTCTTTATTTATCTAGTTTGGATCATATACGAACAGGTGATGATTGCAGCCCTAGATTATGGTCGAGATGACTTGGCATTGGTAGGTATTTAATTATTATTATTATTTTTTGGACTGGGGATTGAACCCAGGGGTACTTAACTGCTGAGCAACATACCTGGCCCTTTTTATTTTATCTTTTGAAAGAGGGTCTCACTAAGTTGCTTAGAGCCTCACTAAGAATCTGAGGCTGGCCTTGAACTTGCAATTCTCCTGCCTCAGTCTCCTGAGTTGCTGGAATTATAGGTGTGAGCCTATTTTATATTTAACTTGCTATATATATATATATATATATATATATATATATATATGATTAAGACTTGGTACATGGCTTGTATTGAATATTTTCTGTAATTAGTATTGACTATTTCTCTTAACAGTTAGTTGAGGGCTGGGGTTGTAGCTCAGAGGTAGAGTGCTTGCCTACCACATAAAGGCCCTGAGTTTAGTCTCTAGCATCCATTTTTAAATACAAAACAAAAGAACAGAAAAGTTAAGTGGAACTAACAAGAAATTTTTGGACATAGTAAAAACTATGTAAACCATTCCTTGTATATATATATATAAGGTAATTACTTATTTAATATATATAATGTAATTACTACTGTTCAAGTCTTTTTTACCAACTATTTTTTCAGTTTTGTCTTCAGGAGTTAAGAAGACAGTTCCCTGGCAGTCATAGAGTCAAACGATTAACAGGCATGAGATTTGAAGCTATGGAAAGGTAACCAAATCTTGTGAACAATGTGATTCCATTTAAAAATGGCAAAATGGAGATTGTTTTAGGTTCTCTCATGCTCATGGCACATCATTCATTGCACGAGGTCTTTTGCTGCCGAGTTCTAGAATAGTGTCAAAGTGTTTCTCATTACAAATCCTGTCAGTTACTCCCAGGAAATGGGTAATGTAACCCATTTACCATCTCTAACCTTCTGAAATTAGATCATGCTTTGGAATAAGAGCTGGCTTCAAAGTCTTGTTTCAGCATTTCCTAGCTTTGACTTGACAAATTATTTAACTTTTTAAATTCTTTTCAAATTCATGCCTCTAAAATACAGATATTGCCAATTTGTAAAGGTTGTTTTGAGAAATATACATAGCACATACATGCACAGACCCAAACACATACACACTCAAAGCAAATGAAAGACACTATTATTATCTAGATTAGAAACACATACATACATTCAAAGCAAATGAATGACACTATTATCTAGATTGGAGTTACAACCTTTTTAAAAAACAGAATTCTGTTTCTAAGTGTACTCTTAACCTAGTAATGGAAAAGAGAAAAAAAAAAAATGGTCCTTTTTTTTTTTTTTTTTTTCCTGTGATACTGGGGATTGAACTCAGGGTCACTCAACCACTGAGCCACATCCCCAACCCTATTTTGTATTTTATTTAGAGACAAGGTCACAGTGAGTTGCTCAGTGCTCGGGGTTGCTGAGGCTGGCTTTGAACTCATGATCCTCCTCCCTTGGCTTCCCAAGCCACTGGGATTACAAGCGTGCACCACCATGACTGGCTGAAATAGTCTGTTTTAATTGAAGCGTTGTCTATTGCTCCCTCTTCAATGATAACTTTAGAAGCACATCTGTAGGTACTCCAGGAGAGTTCATTATATCTAGAATGTAATGAATGATGGAGTTGCTGTTTGGGACTGAAACTAGAGGTACAGGCAGGTACCAGATTGTGTGGGACTTCATATACCCTACTAAGAAATTTCAACTGAGAGTAACAGGAAACCATTATATGAATTTAAGCAAAGAATAACTGTTGGATTTGTCTGTAAGAACATTGTAATATGGGTGTGTAGTGAGTAGTTTCAGAAAGGAAGCAGTTTTGAGATTGTTGCACTAGAATTATAAACTGTAGCAGAGATTGTAGAGAGAGTAAGATGAAAAGAAATTGAGAGGGTCATAAAATAGGCTATCGATTACATTTTAGAAATGAAAGAGAAAAAGAAATTAAAAATGCCTTTTGGTTTTCTGTCTTGTATGTTCAAATGTTATCTACCAAATGGAAAAAAAGGAAAAAAAGTACATAAATTGAGGAAGAAATATTTCTGGGTAGAAAGACTTGTTGAGTTTGAGGTATTTGATAGTTAGCTGTGAACAATGAGAAAGTTGAACAAATATTCTGAGAGAGGTGTCCATGAGGAACAAAACATAGAAAATAAAGTCTGTTTTCAAAGATTTATGTTTGTAATGGTAGGATAAAAACATGAGTCATACCAGTGAGAATGTCATCCAGCATGATCTATTTAGTAAGAGTATTGAATATATTATGGTTTGGTGTCCTCAATCTGTAAGGCTTTTCTAATAATCAGAGACATAGAAATGAATCTTCATCTGTCTGTTTACATTATCATCTGTTTTTGCCTCTTGTCCCCTTTTCCCATTAGAACCATTAATTTGGACATAGGTGTTTGTACTGTGTATTATTTATTAACATTAACATTTCTGCCATGTCCCAGGTTTGGTTCTGATGCTTGCTCTATCTCTTCAAACAGTGTTGCTAGTTTTTACCTTTGTATTCAGACCAAATTCAATCAGTATTTTTTGAAGTTTTCTGGTAAGTATTTTATATACAGTGTGTTTTTATTTAAAAACTTAGACTGTAGTAAACTTTCCCTTTTAAATGCAGATGAGAAGACTTGGACATCAATTATGAATGCAGTTGAAGCCCTGCCAGTTAAATCTTTTTCTGTATTTACTATTATCATTGCATTTTAAAGATAATGACTCTCGATTTTCCTTTTTCTTTTTAAATAGATATGATGATGCTGTACAGCTATATGATCGAATTTTACAAGAAGACCCAACTAACACTGTAAGTTGGCAAATTGTCCTGAGGATGATCTAAAGTTAATTTAAAAGATAAAACTAATTCATTGACAAAATAATGGAAGCATACATAAGGAACCAGGTTTTATGTTTCTATTTTAAATAGTTTATAATGGACCATCTTTTAATAGATTTAATAGTCTCCAGTAAAATTCAATTTCTAGAAGATGTCTTTTTAGGAAAGAAGTTAGTTGAAATTAGGAAAGAGCAGGCTTGTACTTGAATAAAAACCCAGCAGATCTTAATGTTTTTGTGATATTTTGAAGCTTATAAAAAACTTTCCTAGTTTGTGTCAATATGTTTTAGTTGTCTTATTGGACAATGAAAGAAGTCATTCAGTGATTTAGTATAAAGAATGTAGGGTATTATTTTTTAATCTACCTTACACATGAATAAGGAAAACAATCTGTGAACATAAACATACATATACATACATATATAGTATATATGTATGTATATTATAGTATTTGTTTAAAAAATAATTCCCTAGTGAATTTTTTTTTTAAGTTGACAACACTTTAGGTTAACATATTGGCAAAACTTTAATAGAAGATTCTACTAAATGATTTTACTAATGATTTTACTAAGATTCTACTAAAAGATTTTACTAAATGAAAAGATACTGAAAGACTTTAGATATATATCACTCATTTTAATGTTTTGTGTCATTATTTCCATGTATACATGTGCCTGCTGAAAGGATATTTTCACAATTTTTGGACAAAAATCAGATTAAGTCTTTTCCTTTTATAGAAGGAAAAATGGTTACATTAATACATAATATAGGTTCTTGAAAGTTTTCACTTACTTGGCAAGCATTTCTTTAAAGTTAGACATTTTTAAAAATCATGTAATATGATTGTAGATCTTAAGATACAAAAATGTTTAATAATTGAACAATTACTTGATTCATTTTAAAGAAACTATACTAACATGGGAAATTATTTAGTATTCAAATATTAGTTTTTAGAGTATGTTTTTCCCAGTCATTGGTTATAAATCCTCATCTCTTCTTACTCCTTTTGATATTCTGTATTAATTTGCTATTTTATATTATAGTAGTTGAAGTAATAAAGACTCCTACTTTTGTTGTTATCTCACCTTAGGGAGATTTTTCTATGGAAACTTCTAGGGTTTTTTTTTTTTTTGAGTTTTTGTTTTTGTAAATATTTGAATAGAAAGGTTTTATTATTTTGTTATGATTCTTAAATATAGAAAGGTGTTCTGATAACCACAGGCTTAACTGTTATAAAATACAAAAGTAAGAGATAGTTTCTGTTGGTTTATCAAGATACTAATAAAAAGTAAAATTGGCCAGGCGCCTTGGCATAGGCCTGTGACTCCAGTGACTTGGGAGGCTGAGGCAGGAGGATCACAAGTTCAAAGCCAGCCTCAGCAACTGCAAGGCACTAAGCAACTCAGGTCTCTAAATAAAATACAAAATAGGGCTGGATATGTGGCTTAGTTTTTGGGTGCCCCTGAGTTCAATACTTGGTACTCAAAAAAAAAGTAGAATAGGAAAGTTTTTGAATCATTTCCTAATCTTAACTGTCTTATTAGCTTGCCATCTTGGTTAGTATTGGTTCTTTTAAAGTCTGGTAAAATTCAGCAGCATATCCATCCAGTCTTGAGCTTTTCTTTATTTGAAGGCTTTTTTTTAATTTAGATACTTATTATTAATTTATTTTGGTTTATTGTATTGATAATGTCACTTTTCTATTTCTCATTTGCACATCTTCTTGTATAGTCTAGTGAGATTTATTCTTTTACATCCTTTCATGATTTTGTTTTATCTTTCTTCTTCTGAGTATAGAATTCCCTTAAACATCTACTGCAGTACTGGTCTAGAGGTCATGAATTCCACTTTCCCCCCACCCTTAATCTGTGTTACCTTTAAAAATTTTTATTTCTTCCTCAATTCTGAGGTATAACCTTGCTGGGAGTAGTAATCTTGGTTAGCAGTTTTATTCTTCCAGGATTTGAAATATATTGTTCTGTGCCCTTCTGGCCTTTAGTATTTCTACTGAGAAATATGCTGTTATGTTGATTTGTTTACCTGCGTGACGTGGTGCTTCTCTCTTGCATCTTTTTGTATTCTTCTTTATTTTGTACTTTTGGCATTATAACCATGTTGTGTAGAGGTTCTTTTTGGCCATGTCTATTTAGGGATATAAATGCCTCCTGTACCTGTATATTTTCCCCAATATTTGGGAAGTTTTCTGCTATTCTATAACTGTATATGTTGTCTGTTCTCTCTAATGTAGTTTTCACCTTCTGGTATGCAAATTATATGATTGATCTTCTAATGGTGTCCTAGAGTGTTAGTCAGCTTTTCATCCCTGTGACCAAAATACCAGACATAACAACTTAAAGGAGCAAAAAAAATTTTTTTTTTTTTTTTTTTTGACTCAGTTTCAGAAGTTTCAGTTCATGATTGGCTGACTCCGTTGTTTTGGGCCTAAGTTGAGGTAGAACATCATGGAGGAAAGGCATGGTAGAGCAGAGCTTCCAGGAAACTGCAGGGACGAATAGCAAGTGCACATGCACAAAAAGGGGTTAGGGACAAGATATCAAGTATCAAGATATAGTCACTAGTGGCATCACAGCCAGGAAGCTGAGTGGCAAGGACATGAGATAATCTCAGTGGCATGTCTGCAAGGACTACTGATTCAACTAGGTCCCACCTTCTACCATTTCTACCATCTCCCAATAAATACTATCAAATTATTTGTCCTCTGATTAAGTCTGAGCCTTCATAATCCAAATATTTCCCAAAAGTCTGATTTCCAAACATAACTGCACTGGGGACCAAGCTTTCAACACATCAGCCTTAAGGGAACATTCCATATCCAAGTCATAATACCCAGAGACCTTGTATGTTGTCTTTTTGTCTTGCTGTCTTACTGTAATATTTTGACAGTTGTTCTTAAGCTTTAATACTTTTTCTTCTACTTGATTATTCTGTTGTTGAGGCTTTTAACTGAGTTTTTTTCCTGTGTATTGAGCTTTTGATTTTTATTTGGTTCTTTTATAAAATCTCAATCTCTTTATTGAATTCATATCCTGAATTTTTTTTTTAATTCATTCAACTGTTTTCTCTTGGATTTCATTGAGCTTTTAAAAATGATTTTTATGACTACTCTGGCATTTACCCACTTCAGTATCTTTGAAATCTTTTACTGTGAAGAACTTTGAGAGGTGACATATTACCTTGTTTTTTCATATTTCTATGTTTCTGTATTGAGATTTGAGCATCTGTTCTAATGAATTTCGTCCACTTTCATGTGATAGCCTTCACAGTAAGTGCCTTTCTTCTGCTAATGTGACTTAGAGTTTTGATTTGTTGTGTAATATTGAGTTTATTTCCAATTTGACTCCATAGTAATCTCCCTATAACTTTTTTGGTTACAATTTGTGGTTTTGGGCACAGAGTGTACCATAACAGGATTAGAAAGACCCATTGTCTCTGCAAGACATGTTAGGGTGGGGATACTCCAGTACTTTAGGCACATATGGTATAGGTGGCAGAGAATGTAAGATATGCCTCTGTGTGGTTACTCCTATTATGGAGGCATTAGCTCCCAAAGCACTATTCATAATAACTCTATTATTTGAAAGTGATTCTCATTCTTGGTGTTCTAGGTACATTGAAGGGCTCTTGTTCTCTGATCAGAGACTGGTACAGATCTAAGTGCTTCACAGGGAGGGCCAGCTGGAATCACACAGCTCCCCCTCTGTTGCACTCACTTGAGGCTTATGAGCACTATGCACTCTGACCAGGTGCAGCTGTGATTGATGTAGAGGATTCACATAGATGTGATGTAATCAACTATTGTGTTTTCTCTTTCTGCTGCTACTGTGGGGTATTTGCCCAAGAACCAGATCTCAACCTCCCTCTATCTATGCTTCTCTGGGGATAGGGCAACAGCTGGGAGCCTGTATACCTCTTTTCTTTAAGTAAAAGTGTTTGTTAGGGTTCATGCAGAACTGGGTACATGGCAAATGTCAGAGCTGCAGCAAAATCTTCTGGCTGACCAATTTTGGGCAGAGTGTGTATGACACCTGGAGTATATTCTCTCAGGAGGTTTTTAGTCTATGTACCCTGGGGCATGGTGAATGTCAAAGCCATATTTGGATCCCTGGAATGATTCAAAGGGATGGGAAGAAGGAAGAAGAATTGAAACTTGGAGCTCTGGGCTGGAGAGGTTATGCAGGGACCAAGTTATTGACTAGATTTTATCCCTGAGCCTTTAGACCTGACTTCTGCTTGAAGCTGCATGCAACTGATATTGCTCTGCATCACAGAGGACAGCATTGCTGATCTGCTTGCTGTGCCTTCCACTCCCTTTCATGTCATAGCCATTGATGCTTGGATTAAGTCAGAAACACTTATCTAAGCCACAACTGTCTCGTGTAGCCACTGCCCAGCCACTAAATGCAAGAAGATATCCACAGGAACCCTGAAGTATGATTATTCTCAGTTTTATGATCCCCAGAGAGTTTAGTGTCTTGACAGTAGGATCCGAGAATTTATTGAGAGATACAGTGAATTTCTTCTCTAAAGCCAGCTTGTTTTGCAGACTCCAGATCACCTGTTTATTTAAGCTGTTTGTCTTCAGTGTTCAACTTTCTGAGTCACACTGTGACACTTTCTCTTTTACCTTTACTTCCTTGGAGGGAAGTTTCCGTTTCCCCCACCACTGGGGTATCTTGCTTCTCTTGCTTCATCATTCTGCTTATTCTCTGGAGTTCACTTAGTTTCATTGTCTGTGCAATTTCCAGTACTCACCCAAGTTATCCACCTCCACAAGCAGTTGTGTTTGAAGAACCAAACTAAGGCTGAGTCTATCTATTCTGCAATCTTGAGCCCTCCCACACCTTATTATTCTTTCAGAAACATTTGTTGAGTGTTTGCAATATGCTTGGTGCTGGAAACAGAAGAATATATTAGATAGCATCTTGCTCATGCTTTTAGGGAATCAGCAT